AGGAAGGCATCAGGTTCCAGGGTGACAATGTCCCTCCAAACACTATCATGTTCAAGAAAATAACCGGAGGGATGGTGTGGAAAAAATCGCTGAAAATACAGGGAGGTGCAGGCCTGAAGCAAATCAGGTGGATACAAACGAATTAAAAAAGTTTCGACGGTCCATTACGACTGAACGGCAGCACACCCAAAGTGATAAACTTCTTTAATTGATGTTGCAATTGTCAGTGAACTTGAAAAAAAAAGTAGCTATAGCATAGGAGGTGGGAGCCTCGAATGGGCTAACAACGTTACCTATAGGGGCAAAAGGTTTCTGCCTTAATAAACAAGAATTTACAGATGCCATTGCTCTAAGGTACGGTTGGCTAGTAGAAGGTTTGTCCTCCCGATGCGTGTGTGGCTCATCCTATGACATCGACCACGCCATGTTGCGCAAGAAGGGGATCTTCGTATGCATGAGGCATGACGAAGTAAGGGATCTCACAGAAAATTTACTGAAGGAAACCTGCCACGACGTCACGGTGGAACCGACCCTCCTTTCATTGGACGGTGAGAATTTCCATCACAGAATTTCAAACGCATCCAACAAAGCCCGTGTGGACGTCAGTGTTCAAGGAATCTGGGCGCGGAGACAGTGGCCATTCTTTGACATACGATTTTCGACCCCATGGTCGCATGTCACCATAACCTAGCTTTCGATGCTGCACACAGGAGGAACAAGAATGACAAGAATAGGGTATATGGGGAGAAAATTCAGAATGTTGATCATTCTAGGCAGCTTCACTCTTCTGGTGTTCACAACCTCTAGTGGGATGGAACCAAGTGCAAGATGTTTCTTTGCCAGACTCGCGGAGATGCTATCTGAACAGAAGCAGCAGCCCAGAGGTTACAAAACAGCCTGGTTGAGATGTCGACTGTCCTTCTCTCTGCTTAGGTCTGCATTGCTTTTCCTCAGGGGAACGAGATCGTCGGCCCCAAAGCTGACAATGGCCCCAGACATTGACTATGAGGCAACAGTCACTGAATGCCGCATAGATAAGAACATAAGAACATAAGAAAATAAGGAGTCTGCAATAGGCCGGTTGGCCTGTGCATGGCAGCTCCTGTCGAGAGTTACTACCACTCTCTATCATCCATGAATCTATCTAGCCTCCTTTTGAAACTTTCCAGAGTTCCCTCACTTACTACAAAGCTGCTAAGCTTGTTCCACTCGTCCACTACCAAATTTGTGAACCAGTTTCTTCCTATCTCCCTACTAAACCTAAACTTATCCAGCTTCAATACGTTCCTCCGAGTCCTACCCTGCTCGGATATTATAATAACTTTATCTATATCCCCTTTATTGATTCCTTTCACCCACTTAAGTACTTCTATCATATCTCCCCGCACACTTCGTCTTTCTAGGGAATGCAAGTTTAGTTTCTTAAACCTATCCTGATATGGAAGGTTTCTAAGTCCCGGAATCATTTTTGTCATTCTTAGCTGCACCGACTCTAGTGAATTTATATCCATTCTATAATAAGGGCACCAGAACTGAACCGCATAATCGAGGTGCGGCCTGACTAGCGCAAGATATAGTTGCAATAAGACCTCTGCACTCTTGTTACTTACACTTCTAGATATAAAACCCAATATTCTGTTTGCCTTATTTCGAACATTAACGCACTGTTTTTTAGGCCGTAGGTCCGGGCTTACAAGTACCCCTAGGTCTCTTTCACAAGTCGACTTCTCTAGGTTGATGTTGTTAAGGCTGTATACATTATCAGTATTTGTTCTTCCAATATTAAGTACACTGTACTTGCTGGTGTTGAATTTTATTTGCCATTTTTCAGACCACCCCTGCAGTTTATTTAGATCCTCCTGCAATGCATTTGCATCCTGCCCTGAATTAATCTGCCGCCCTATTTTGGTGTCATCAGCAAACTTGCTTATGTCACTGCTGATCCCAGTATCTAGATCGTTTATGTAGATTATGAACAAGAGTGGGCCTAGTACTGACCCCTGGGGAACCCCACTGGTTACACAGCCCCACTCAGATTTAACACCATCTACGCTGACCCTCTGCGTTCTATCGGTGAGCCATGATTTTATCCAATTTAAAACTTCCCCTCGGTACCATGAGCTTTAATTTTTCTCAGAAGCCTCTGATGCGGTACTCTGTCAAATGCTTTGCTAACGACTAAGTAAATAACATCGTAATTTTCGTCATTATCTACTACCTCGAAGACTTTCCTAAAAAAACGTCAGCAGATTTGTGAGACAAGATTTTCCCTTCGTAAACCCATGTTGAGAGTCGTAGATTAATTTGCTTTTCTCTAGATGCGATCGGATGCTATCTGCTATAATTGATTCAAGAAATTTCCCCACTACTGACGTCAAACTGATCGGCCGGTAATTTGACGCTGATGCTCTGTCTCCCTTTTTGAATATGAGTACTACATTTGCCTGTTTCCACAAGTCTGGCACAACTCCAGTGTCTAATGATTTTGTAAATAAGTTTACGAGGGGTCAGCTAATCTGTTCCCTACACTCTTTCAAGACTCGAGGGAAAATTTCATACGGCCCTGGGGATTTTGTCTTCTTTAGTTTATTTGTCTTCTTAAGAACATCCTCTTTTCTGATAGTGATATTCTTTAATTTCTCTTCTTCCTTTCCCTTCAATATCAGTTCCATCTCTGGAATTTCATCGCGAATTTCTTCTGTGAAAACTGATAAGAAGTAGCTGTTAGTGCTTTGCTTATTTCTTCACTGCCATTTATCACTTCTCCCCTCCCTGACTTTAAAGGCCCAACTTTGTCCTTGACATTTGTTCTATATACCTGGAAAAATCCCTTGGGATTTGCCTTGGATTCTCTTGCTATTTTGATTTCATAGTCTCTCTTTGCTTTCCTTACATTTTTCTTAACATTCCCAGATAGTTCATTATACCGATTTCTGAGCTGCTCCTCCCCTCCCTTTAATTTCTTATATATTCCTTTCTTTATTCCTATGCCATGTTTAAGTTTTCTGGTCATCCTCCTTGGCTCTCTCTTATTTAACCTATTTTTTCTGTATGGTATATTTTGTTCTTGTGCTTTATGTAGTATACTAGTGAATATATTATAGTCATGATCAATTGTTGTGTCATCTATGACCTCACCCTTTCCTACTGGGGACTGACGTAACTGTTCCCAGGTGACCTCACCTAGATACCTTCTTAACCCCTGATAATCCGCCAACCGAAAGTTTGGGACTCTGACCATATTGTCATTGTTTTTTGTTTCCTAATTTAGGGTGAACCTGATTTCTCTGTGATCACTGTTACCTAGTTCTTCCCTACTGTGATATCTCTGTTAATATTTTCTTTATTTGTTAATACTAGGTCTAATATATTGTCACCTCTAGTACGTTCTGTAATTAGTTGTTTCAAAAAATTGTCCTGTACTGCGTCTAGGAAGTCTTCAGATTCATAGTCACCTACAATGTTGTCCCAGTCAATATTTCTGAAGTTGAAATCCCCCATAATGCACACGTTGTTATATTTTGCTGCCCTACTCATTTCCTGCCATATAGGCTGAGCTGCTTCTTTCCCAAGACTTGGGGGCCTGTAAATCACTCCCATAATTAGTTTTTCTCTTCCTTCCGTGATTTCTACCCATACAGACTCGGTTCCTATTTCACCCGTTATTGAATTATTGATACAACATTTTAATGTATCCTTGACGAAGAGTGCGACCCCTCCCCCCTTCCTACCTTCCCTGTCCTTGTGAAAAAGGTTGTACCCTTCTATGTCGTACTCTGATAAAAAATTTTTGCTCGCCAGATTCATCCAAGTTTCGGTGATTGCTATGACGTCTACATTCTCGGTACATACAACCGCTCTCAGATTTAGGTCTGCGGCTCAACTAACTCAACACAGCTAGGGTAGGTACTTTTGTGTGAGGATATTTAATTTTAAGGCAATACAATAGCGGCGAAGGTGTGGCTATTGGGGGAGGCTGGAGGCCACTTTAAAAAAAAAAGTAGTAGTAGTAATAGCAGTAGTAGTAGTAACATTAAGCTTAATCTTAATTATATAGATGAAAATTACTAAAGAAAATGTTTAATTTACACTACAGTGGGCAACTGGCCTTAGTAAAGAAGAGCTGTACATGAGATACAGTTACATCCTGTACGTTGTATGATACTGAAACTCGAGTGTAAGAAAAGATAAAACACAGCAAAACAATAAGATCACTATATTTCGACCATAACCTGCGGCCCTCTTCAGTAGTGTAGGGAAATTTAAAGTGCTCTCGTTTTGCCGTGTTTTATCTTCTCCTACCGCGGGATTTCGGCTGAATAATGTAGTGAGTTTACGCCGCTATAACAAAAATTCAGGGAGACAACAATAAAAAGATTAACTGCAAATAGGATCTGAGATAAAACTAGAGAGAAACAAATGTACAGGAGAGTGAGAGAGATGCGATAAAGACTGACAAATGTGAGGGAGATGTATAATAAGGAGAGTAGGGTGAGAGGTGATGATGATGGTGGTGGAGGTGGTGGTGGTGGTGGCTGGTGGTGGTTTAGGGAGCGTGGGTAGATGGAGAAGGTGGTGTAGGGAGCGTGGGTGGATGATGGTGTGTAAGGAGTGTGGATGATGGTGGTGGTGTAGGGAGTGTGGAGGGACAGTCACACCCACTTAACCTAACACTGACTGGTTGGCTCATTCCTCCAGCTAAGTGTACGGCCACATTATGTAGTGTACCTCCGAGAACCACGTATCTCCTGTCTGCCAACTCTTACTGTACCATCACACTGCTACTACTAGTGTACACTGTACAGTATCATCACCCTGACACACCAGACTCCATGTGTACCATCAGTTACAGTCGCTCACACTAAGGTGGACTCCAAGTACACCACCATCACAGGTACACCACCGTCACAGGTCTCCAGACTCCAGGTACACCATCATCACAGGTACACAGACCCCAGGTACACCACCATCACAGGTACACAGACTCATTAGTGCCTTACCGGTGGCTGGAACACAGTCGAATAATTCTGTGTCTCTTCAATTGGTCGTCGCTAGAACGCATCAACATGACGCCACCACGCGATCCTGGAACAAGACGAACATTACAAACACTACCTGTAACAACATGAACAAATACACAGGGCTTACTATGAACACTCGTGGAACAACATAAGGAATTGTACAAAGATCCACCACGATTCATTTGAACAACCTGAACAATTTTAGCAACAAATGAACATCCACGACAACTAACTGACCTGCTGGAACGATAACGAGATAATTCACCAGACTGGAACAATATGAGGAAGTAATTTGATTTTAGTGGTAATCTATCACGGACATACGAGAACAATGAGAGAGAGCATTACCACAATTCCTGGAACAGATATATGAGGAGACGAGAGAGTTCCAGTACCTGGAATATCAATAATAACGGGACACTAGAATTCCTGGAACAAATTTAAGGAACATTATCAGTGTTCATGGAATGGGAGGAACACAATTGACAACAGAACTATATTATTTTTGGCACAGGACGAGAGAGAGAGATAAAGATAGATAGATAGAGAGAAAGTGACAAATATAGATGTACAGAGAGATAGATAGTGATAAGACCGGTTGATATAGTATATTTAGAGGTGTAAAAGATATCAGGTCCTGATGATTTATTGTTAGAAATATTAAGGATCCACAAATATAAACATTATTAAATTTCCTCGATTAAGGCCAGCAGTCACACCTGACTCATAAGTGATAAACGACAGAGGCGGAGCTGGATGAGAACTGCCATTAGTGTGGCTGTTGCACTCATGATTTTTCTCTTTACTATGAAAAGGGAAATATAAAAATATGTTTACACCTTTCATGTAAATGCGTGAGAGATGGAAAATATTCTCGTGAATTATAAAAACATTGGTGGAGTACACGAAGATTGATATGTTAACACTTCACAGGTACGCTGGAAAATATTTACATGTTTTACACAGATAATTATGTTTACGTCGTGTTCAATAGACGTGTCGGTGCTAAATAAACCTTTCAAGACATAACAGCTGATGTGTTAAAGTTTTTTGTTTCTTCTTGTAATTTTTTGTAATTTTCACTGGAAGAGAAATTTCCCGCAGTCTAAACTGTTTGCCAACACTTTATATGGTCTTACGAATAAAGTTTGACAGTTAAGTGAATTAGAGGAAAGAATGAAGAAACATGTCTTCTAACACGGAAATGTGTGTGACAAGTAGCCTATTATTCAGATCCAAAAATCGGTGTTCAGCATAGTGCAAGTCGTCACTGACATAACTCAACATTTGTGTAAACATATTGGTAAATAAACTATAGTTAAAGCCTTAAACTCAACACTAAACAGTTTATGACTGGACAAGCAACACACAACTTTGTATTACCAGACACATCCGTACTGGAGCCAGTGATGCTAGTGTGCCGGGTCCATTAACCTGTATGGGGACCTCGTCAGGTGTTCCAGGTCCATTAGCTGTTGTTGTTGTTGTTGAGATTGTCGGACCGTAGTCCGACACGGGCCTATAGGCGGCCCGTTCGGTGGTTCCGGCTGGAGCTCCTGGAGCAGCCAGACCGGATTGGGATTGTAGGTTGTCCTACCTGCAGATATGGAAGGATACTGCAGGTTGCAAGTGTGAGCGGACCCCCGATCAGTGGACGCTTACCACCAACCCCCACTCTTGGACGTGGTCAGTTTCGGAGTGGCACGCCCCCCGAACTGAGGTCCGCACTTGCTGGGAGAGGATACTTTCTAAGCTGTATATCTGCCTTCCGGTGGGAGTCTTTGTGCAGTCCACGAAGCATTCATGACTTGTAGCAAAGCCTCGTGTCCGGCTTTACCGGCATGGGAAAGCATGGAGTAGGTTATCCTATCGGTCCCTGGTGCTGTGTCCTTGCTTCGTTTTAGCGACTTCTGGAGTTCTTGCTGGTTGAAAGATCTGTCGGTGTCATCTTCACTGTTGCAGGCCTCTTCGATCATCTGGAGTCTGACCTGTCGCAGACGCCATTGTGTCTCCTCCGCCTGTCTCGGGAGGTTTTTCGTTGCTGCTCGGTCAGAGAACAGTTTTGCAAGTCTCTCGGCTTCCTCTTCTGGGTTGGGATGGGTTGGTGGTGGTGGTGTTGCCTTCCCAGATGCCCTTCGGATCTGGGCCCACATCTTGCCAAGGGAGGTGTGCTCGTTCAGTTCGGAGCACCACTTGAGCCAGCTTACGTTTTTTATTTCTTCCTTCTCTTCCCTGGTATCCTTAACTATGACTTGCAGGAGATGTCTGTTTGTTTCCGTGGGATGTCTCCTGTAGTTTCTTCGGGCCATGTTCACTCTGTGGTTGAGTTCTTTCACCCTGGGACAGTAGTACCAGTAATCATTGTACTGTCTTGATGTGGGTTTTGTTTTTGGGATAGCCTCTTCTGCCGCTTGGTGAAACGCCTCGACCAATTGTTGGTGGAGGGTTGTCTCGTCCACGGGTGCTGCGCCGGCCGGCTGTGATTTTACGCGCCACTTAGCCAGGTGTTTCTTAAAGAGTCCCCAGTCTGCCTTTTGGGTATTGTATCTCCATCTCGGCGGGGGTGGAGTGGGTAGTTTGTTCACCTTCAGCGTTGTTAGGGTGGCGAAGTGGTCGCTGGTCAGCGTGGGGTGTAGCTGCCAGGAGGCCGAAGGCTGTAGTGCACTGGAGACGAAGGTTAGATCTAGCTTTCCTCCCCTAGTGTGGGTGGGCTCTCCGGTGTTCAGGAGGCAGATCTCGGGTGTGTCTTGAAAGGTGGTGTATAGGTGTAGGCCGTCTTCATTTGTGGGGCTTACCGAGCTTAGGAAGGGATGATGTGCGTTGAAATCCCCTCCTATGAGTGTGGCGTGGTCAGCGGTCGAAGCGAATAATTGAGTCACCTCCAGTGAGTCCCTTGGGTTCTTGCAGATGTTGTGAGCAGTTAATTCCCGTTCTTGGAGGGTTACTTTGACGGCCTGTGTCTCGATGTTTTCCCCACATGGAAATTGCTGCGTGACTTCGGAGGAGAGTATGCTTGACTTGACCAAGATCATACATCCTCTTGTTGACGCCTGCGTGAAATGCCTCCTGTATGTCTTGAAACCACTGAATTTGAAACTGGTGTTCTTGTAGAAGTGTTTCTTGTAGCAGTATGATGTCAAGCTTGTCCTTGGCTGCTGCTTCTTGCAGGAGGTGTTTCTTGTTTTTGAGGCCCTGAGCATTCCATGTAAGGATGTTCAGGGTGCTGATGTTTTCCACCACTGTTTCATCGGGGACTTCTGGTGGTCCTCGATGGAAATGTTCAAGTCCGATTCCGACTGGATCAGGTTCATAGCTTCTTGTTCTGTGGTTTTTGCCTTCTGGGCCGTGGTTCGGTTCAGGGGAGTGTCCCAGCTGTTACTGTTACCATTGTGTCCCAGCTGCCATGGGTACCACTGTGTCTCAGCTGCCATAGGTATCACGTCCCAGATGTCATGGGTACCACTGTGTCCCAGCTGCCATGGGTACCACTGTGTCCCAGCTGCCATGGGTACCACTGTCTCCCAGATGCCACGGGCACAACTGTGTCTCAGCTGCCACGGGTACCACTGATGCAATTGTAAACAGTCACCACTACTGCCATATATCACACGTTACTCATAAATCATAATACTACTTTTAATCCTTTCTATCATTCTTTTTCTCAACAGCCTGCTTGTTGGTTACGTGAGAGAGAAAAGACGTGCTTGAAAGAAACTCCGTTGCCTCGAGGAACCCGAGAATCACCCAACACAATAATACAGCTGTATTTAATGTGGAGCGAAAAAGGACCCTGGAGGGTAAGTAGTCAAGAGGAGAAAAGTTTTGAAAGAATATGAACACAAAGCCAAAGTTTAAAAGCAATGCTGGCAAGTTTAATAATGCCTTAATTACAAGAGACTGTGAATTATGGTCAACGAGTAGTCTTACATTCCCGAAGTGAGAGAGGTCTAACTTGGAGGAAAGTTTCTGAAGATGAAGAGTGGCGGAAAATTGTTTTGGTTGTGAAAGACAATTAGTGCTCGTGTTCTAGAGGCATTAAATGTTACTTGGTTAACTTTATCTCGTGTCAGGGAGCTTTGTAAGTATTTAAGTGCCATAAAGTAGATAAATTATTACCAACACTGAAGTTTGGAGCAGCAAGGGGAAGGACTTTTAAGAGAGGCATGTTGAGGAGTTAATTGCCAGGATCTAAAGTTTTAAGTCTTTGACAAACATGAAGAAGAGAGGGGAGGAAGGATGGAAGGCGTGTTTACCTTCCCTGAGATATAGTTGCACAAGTGAGATCAGAGTGAGCGAGAAGTGCAATGACAAGGTGAGGAAATCTTATGGGTAAAATAATTTAGCCCAGCAGGACAAGAGAGATAACTTATAAATAAAATAATCGTAGATGCACTGTTATGGAACAGGTATTTTCATTGTCGGTGTGATGGTGTATATGTTACGTTTTTTAGTGAAATCGGTTCTTTTCCAAAATTCCCGGCATGCATAATGACTAACAAACAGACAACCTAAACTAACCTAACCTTATGGTTAGGTTAAGTGAGAGGTTAGGTTAGGTTAGGTTAGGTTAGGTTAGGTTAGGTTAGGTTAGGTTAGGTTAGGTTAGGTTAGGATGTCTCGTGTAGATTGATACAAAGTTAAGTGGTCCTGTTCTTTTTTTTTAACGTTGGTTATCCTGTTTGTAAGTTATTTCGGAAATTTACCGGTATGCATGCCGGGAATTTTGCAAAATAACCGACTTTACAAAAAATCCGTAACATACACACTACAAAGTGATGTATTTATCTTATGTTACCCTCCCCGTGTTGTTGTGTTCCACCTTAGTTGGTTGGATAAGATGAACCACACATAAATGGATAGTTCATCACCTCTGAGTGCCATGTTAGTGTTATTGAGTTCAGCTGCTGCTATCTCTCCTCTGCACGCAACCTCTATTCATCCCCTCCACATACTCTCTCTACACATATCCTCAACATACTCCCTGTATACACTGCCTCCACACACTAAGCAAAGCGATAACTTTAGCCACATATAGTTAACGACAACTTTATCTAGAAGTTCTGTACATAAAAATACCCGATGGATAACAGATATCGTAAATCAAATTTAAGGCATTCCCCAGGTCTTCCAGGCCATGATTTATCATTTTCCAGGCGAGTGTTAAGTCGTTTAGGCATTAATAATGGCATGAGTTACAAAAAAATGTGTAATGGTCCCTGTTTCATCAACAGAAGTATTATATAAATGGGTTCATTACACTTGACTTATGTACTGATTCATCCCCTGTAACTTTCCACTTGCCATGAGTTGTCATGCTCATATCACGTGAATGGTAGCCTCCTTGGGGTGCGGCCCATTGACTGCATGTCAGCACATGGGTCAGCTCGGTAAGCCGGCTCCCACGGGCAGTCACACTCATAATCTCACATCGAAAGGACGTGATTAAACGGTCTATTTACATAGCCGCCGTCCTCTCCCTTCACACTCATGAATAGTAGAAGTTACGGTTGATTTACACTCAGGAATTATATAAACGATACTCAGGAGCAGCGCGCGCCGACCGACCTTGAGCGGGTGCCAACACTCACCCACACCACATCTGTCTACAGCTGTGCCGACTGATGTCTCTGAAGCCAGACACAAATATGCGTGCCTTGTTGACCGGGGTGTCAAGGTCAAACTGTTGTGGATCCCCTCTCACATAGGCCTCATAAAACATGACAGAGTTGATGCCCTCGCCAAACTCGCGTCTAACAAAGACACCGTTGAATACAATTTGGGTCTGTCAAAAAGAACCCTTAAAACTGTAATTAGGAAAGAACTTATTGATGAGTTTGACGCAAGTAGACAAGTGCAAACAGGCACTAGTCGATCCATAGTTTACCATGATGAGATGTATCAAGTGAAACATGTATATGGAGCAAGTAACAAGATCACTAGATTACAAGATGTTGTAACCGCTAGATTAAGGTTAGGATATAAGTACCTCTGGCAGTATGTTCCTCAAGCAGATGTAAACAAAACTAAATGTAAAGTGTGTGGCCATACATATGGCCACACACTTGAACACTACGTCCTCGACTGTGTGAAGATAGAACCTTTTAGGGACAGGTCCAAGCACACTGTGTGTGAAATGGCACAACACTTCATCTCTAATGGCAAGATAGCCGACATATTAAGATTGTATCCACTTTTTTGCACTCAGTAACTATATCAGTTCTCATGTACAGAACCAAATACGCAATGTGCTTGAATACCTCCCACGTAAATGTGAATAACAAAGTGTGAGGCCAGACATACTGCCTCACACGCCTGTTCTCACGCATTTGTGAATAAGTTACCCTCTATGTATAGAACTAAACAAATAATGTAAATGAAATACTGTGTAACTTTCGGTGCCATAATATCCTGACAACCGGGGTTAATTATTATGACCCTTTGTAAACCCTACTCTGTAATCCTTTTGCGCTACCGCTCACAGGATGAGTGTGGGGTGCACAATAAAGTAGCCGCTGCAAGCGGCAAAATAAAAAATAATGTCCGACTGAGAGGACCTGAGGTACCAGCTGGACGGATCGCGTTTTCTATGCAGACGCCCAACTCCTGTATTAGGTATTTAAAGATAAACTTACTTTATACACACATTTACATAGTCAACGGCATGCCTTCACATTGATAGGACATCGGATAGGCTATGTCATTGTTGTAAGTGTCGTACTTATTTTAATGTATACTGATGTAATATAGTTTCCAGTAGTTATTTCTTACCTGTTCAGTTATTGATACTTTAATCTAATATACTATAAGACTAGGCATGTGTCTGTCTGTCTGTCTGTCTGTCTGTTTGTGTGTGTGTCTGTTCTGGGCAGCCGAAACGGCACAATCGTTTTTCATCAAACTTGGTGGAACAAACCTGGTCCCATATCAATGGTTTCTTTAGGAAGCCATTAATTAACCATTTTATTTAAGCTGGATAATGATGCAAGTCTATGGACTTGGCGCACCATCATTGGCTGTACGCTGTCAGCCCACGATTGCAGTATGGCTCCCTCCTCCTCCCCCCACTTTTTTCTTAGCCTACTTTTTTTTAATGTTGTTTGCATTAGTAAAGGAAGGAAGATGAGTAAATAGAAGAATAAAGAAGGGGAAACAGAAATTAGTTAGAGATAACAAGTGAGGGGGGAGCTGAGTTTATTCATGCGTCTGGATGCGCAGTTTCAACGTTACCAGACCATTTTCGGACCTTTCAGCTACAGTGTGTACAGTATACTTATTCCTGTGACAGTACAATACCATACAATACCATACAATACCATACAATTCCATACCATACAATACAATACACAACGAACTATAAATATTTGTAAGAATAAAACAATTATATAGACATATAAGACTCACAACTTGATAAGATATCCGTAAGACATTAGCTATTGGAAATGTGATTAAATGTTTTGTTATTAATCCAGTGTGAAATATATCGGTATTGGTGGTACAATCCTAATGGTCTCTAATCCTGTTGATTAGGTGAGGCTAATCTGCGATTTTTGAGATCAAAGATTAGGTGTGGGGTTTATTCTACCTGTGTAAGTCTCAGGTACAACCCTTATTGTAACAATCACGACCATGATTATAACAACCAGGACCATGATTGTAACAACCACGACCATGATTATAACAACCACAGCCATGATTATAACAACCACGACCATGATTATAACAACCACGACCATGATTATAATAACCACGTCCCTCATTATAACAACCACGACCATAATTATAACAACCACGACCATGATTATAACGACCACGACCATGATTATAACAACCACGACCATGATTATAACAACCACGACCATGATTATAACAACCACGACCATGATTATAACAACCACGACCATGATTATAACAACCACGACTATGATTATATCACCCACGACCATGATTATAACAACCATGACTATGATTATAACAACCACGACTATGATTATAACAACCAGGAACATGATTATAACAACCACGACCATGATTATAACAACCACGACTATGATTATAACACCCACGACCATGATTATAACAACCACGACCATGATTATAACAACCACGACCATGATTATAACAACCACGACCATAATTATAACAACCATGACCATCTGGAAAACGATGTCGCTGTACGCTGTCAGCGGGAAGGCGGTTGCGAGCTAGCCAAGCACGAGCGTTGGAACTTTCACGCCTCGGTAAACTGTACCACCGGACTCGCCACCGGGCACGAAGGGCCCATGATCACTTTTTATTTTAACTATAATTTTTATCAATTTCCTGTACATGAGAGGCAAGTGTTTTGCTCTTACTGTAAATCATTCTGTGACCCATTTGAAAATTCATGGATAAATTTCCAAAGTTGTGGTCTAAGGACATTGCTGATTGAGCGGGACTTTTTGCTCATGATTCACATATAGAGGATAAACGTCACGTTTCTACTGCTGAGGTTAAATTAGGGGTTAAGCATGAAGCACAGTTAGGCGATTCTGTGAAGAGTAGTGAAGAGATAATTGAGGAATCATTTGACGATTTAAACCGTCGTACCTTACGATCGAGGAATCAATATAGTACCTCGCCTGGGCATTCACAGGTAGTTCCTAATCCTATTCTTGGTGACAAGGTGTCGGATAACTTAGCATTACCCCGCCCATTAACTGAGCCTTTGTCTTCTAACGCTCCTATGGCGCCTAACCCAGAGAATGTGTTTCACGTGATACCACAGGCTGACCAGGTCCGTGATTTTACTGGTCAGGGTGATTGTAGAATAACACAATTCATCCGTGAGTGTGAGGACACAATGCGCACTGTGAAAATTACCAATGATTACGATAAGAAGGCGTTTGTGCGTTTCCACATTCCGCAGGGTTCGTTTGCTAGTACGCACCTGAATGTGTATGGTTTGACGGATCCCAACTATGAAAAGTTCAAGCGCGCTCTCATTGGAATTTTCGAGTGCGGGTCCTACTTGGGCCATCTGCAGTGGATATTTAGATGGTTGGATCGTCTGGCTCCAGTGGTTCACATGGAATCACCTATGGGGGCTGTTTCAATTGCCGGAAAAGTACGACAAAACATAGAGGCGACCTTCCGGGATTCGCGATGGTCTGACGAAGATGGCAAGATGTCACCGGAAAATGTGGAAACATGAATAGAGTTGATTAGGTTCCTGTTGGCGGTTCGTCGTCCCATCTATGGCCGGGCCCAGGAAGTAGAGTTTGTCCCGCCGGAGTTACAAGCATCGACGTTCTTTGAGATGTAGCCATTATAATAAGAGGGGACATACGATCGATGATTGTTATCAGCTCCATGGTGGTGGTTTAAATTACTGGGCATCGCCTATCCCCCACAGGCACTAAGCAGAAGCAGGGAGCGCCAAGAAAGTACACGGAGGCGGTTAAGACTACGTGTCCACCTGGCCAAAAATTAAGATCGTGGTGTGCATTCCACCGGTCAGCATCTCACAGCACAGATGAGTGCGACATAATGATTAAGGCTAGGAGCGTGGACTCTGGTGTACCCCCGGTAACACAGCAGCGTAAAGCGCGTCGTTACCAGGATAAGAAGTGCTGGGAAGGCCAACACCTCTCAAAAGACGGGGAAGGATAGGTCCATTGGTGCCTCCTTCCCACAACACTTCTGTGGCAGCCTCATAAGTAGCGGCGCTAAGTAAACTGCAAGTGTTGTCCGTACCGGTTAGAGTGAATGATACCAGATTGGCTCTGGATATTGATACGGGTGCATGCGCAAATGTTTTGGCCTTGACATCCTATCAGGAGTTATAACGAAGATTCCCTCACCGTGATTTCCTATGGAGACCTACTGACGCCGATCTCGAAGGAGTATCCAGCACGCAGCTGAGTATTGACGGAATGGTGACGTTACCACTTAGATTTTCAAGACGTGGTACCCCCTTCTATGCGGATTTTTATGTGGTTCAGCAATTTAATTTGCCACTGACGGATTAATTGGTTTCCCAACACTCAGAACGAATAGTATAGATGTTCGTCCACGTAATAATGCTATTACGTTTAAAGATGTTTCCTACAAGGCTATGCGTCATTCTGCACCATTGCTTTCTGCAAGGTCGAAAGTGTTGTCCACCACTCCCACTCGGAGGAAGGCGGATAATGTGTCAGATCAAGCCCAAGACCTCACACCCTCACTTTCCCAGCGTGATTTTAGCAGCACGAGTTGAAAGATTGTACCTGCAATTTTGAAGAGTACTCTCCACTATCAGAATGAAGAATTCACCAAGGCCACTGTGGAATTACCTGACGCGTATACGGGGACCAATGTTGTATGTCTCCTGGAAACGTGCAAGGTAAAGGGTTTGCCATGCGTGTCGACGTTAAGCATGACACGACCTGGTGGTTTGAC